AAGGAACGCCTGAACCCAAAAACCATAAAAGGAAGGAAGGAAGAGAGCGGCAGGGAAGGAAGCAGGAAGGAAGGAAGGAAGGAAGGAAGAGCGATCTGAGGTTTTATAATAGCCATTTAGAGGTAGATCTGCAACTGGGAAAGGACTATAAAACCTATACCATGATCCCTATATCATCGTCCCTGCATCAGTAGGGTTTAAGGTTTAGGGTTTAGCTGATACTAATACGAATATTAATATAACTCAATATTAATGCTGATATTAATATTAATACTAAATAAATACTATGAATATTATTAGCATTACTAATGCTAATAGTAAGATTAAGAAGATTAGTCTTAGAATATTATTAGTATTACTAATATTAATAACAATATTGATACTAATATTAATATTATTAATGCTAGTAATATTGTTAATACTATTAATACTGCTGAATATTAATATTACATATACTAATACTAATATTAATACGAATACTAGTGTTGATATTTTTTGTATTCATATTTATATTCAGAAAATATTAATACAAATAGTAATACTAGTATAATTAATGTTACTTATACTATTAATATTGATAGTACTGCTAATATTAATATTAATCACATTAATATGACTATTATTACTAATGCTAATACTAATACGAATATTAATATTCATATTAAAATTACTTTTAGAAGTACCTCAGCTACTGCTACTGCTACTTGTATTGCTACTGCTACGCAATTAAGAGTCTTCTGGCCGATGTTTATCTATTTTTGGATGTCGGTGAAAGGTGGCCTGAAGGGCTTGAAGGGGGTGTATAAAAGGAAGGCTTTGAAGGATATATTTTTAGATTGAATAGGGGGGGGCTCCACCCCCCCCCAACCCCCCCTTGCGGGGGGGGCTGCGCCCCCCTCGACCCCCCCCTTTTTTTTAAAGCTGAACACGCGCGCGGTCGAATTCGAAACTCCCTCCCTCCCCGGATTTTGTGTGCTACTATTACTACTACTAGTACCATTAGTAGGATTATTGCTAATATTACTAAAAGTACCACCGCTACTGCTATTGCTACTTGTGTTGCTACTGCCACACAATTAAGAGTCTTCTGGCTGATGTTCATCTATTTTTTGATGTCGGTGAAAGGTGGCCTGAAGGGCTTGAAGAGGGTGTATAAAAGGAAAGCTTTGAAGGTAATATTATTAGGATAAATAGGGAGAGCTCCGCCCCCCCCAACCCCCCCCAACCCCTGCCAACCCCCCCCCGCGGGGGGGGCTGCGCCCCCCCTCGACCCCCCGCCTTGCCTTTTTTAAGCCGAACACACACGCGGTCGAATTCGAAACTCCCTCCCTCTCCGGATTTTGTGTGCTACTATTTTTTATTGTTACTATTACCACTACTACTCTTACTAGTAGGATCATTGCTAGTATTACTGCAAGTACCACTGCTACTGCTACTGCTGCTGCTACTTGTATTGCTACTGCTACACAATTAAGAATCTTCTGGCCCTCGAATTTGTTGATGTTTGTCTATTTTTTGATGTCGGTGAAGGGTACCCTGAAGGGCTTGAAGAGGGTGTATACAAGGAAGGCTTTGAAGGTATTGTTATTAGGTTCTGCGTTTCGCGAACAGGAACCCCCCGATCCCTGTGACTGTTGACACTTTTGAGACGCGAAGACCCGATGCGAGTCCAAAAGTGACAACAGTTCTGCGTTTCGCGACCAGTTCCGATCCCTGTGACTGTTGACACTTTTGAGACGCGAAGACCCGATGCGAGTCCAAAAGTGACGACAG